ATCAGACAAAGAAGTCTACCCCTATTTTTTGAGATCTTTGAGACACTGATGGTCATAATTTACTAGAATATTATTGCTCTCTGATTATTTATCTGTCATAAACAAAATAAAGTGACCTTCGAGTTTTAAAGGTTTAACAAACCTTGACTTCACAATTATACTCAGCACACTTTATATATTTCTTATTCCAATATTCTCTACTATCAGAAGCAGAAAACTTCATACCTCCCACTTTGGAACTTCTCTTCTATAGCATTTGAGAGAAAATTTTTCCTTTTAACTAGAACTTGTTTGTGCTATATGACCAGGCATTTTGCGGTGATTAGCAATAAAAGTTCAATTTCCTCAAGATTCAAGCACAAGGAAATTGCTTTGGTAGCCATATTTATGCTGACATTTTAAAAAGTGATTCAAAGATTTAAAATCCTATCTATTTTGACCCTGGTATACAATTGTTTCATAATTCAAAATAATTTCTTTGTATTTCTTCTGGTTTGCTCTTATATTCTTTTCCTCTCATTCCAACTCAAATTATGTAATTTTAAGAAATTTTCAAGTAATAGCTAAAGCTATCTCAATTTGCTGTCTTCATCTTCAAGGAAAAAAGGAGATCAGAAATGTGAAATTTTGATGAGATTTTGGCATATAAGCAACGAAGAGCTTAGTGTTATTAATAAAATTATATTAAAAGTTGCAAAAAAGGTACTGGAAATTTTGGCTGTGCCATTGTCAAAAGAAAACAGTACAAATTAATATTGTAAAGACTGAGTCCAATTTTATCTTTTAAAATGAAAATCATTACTGAAACACAAATCTTTTTGGTATTAAACGATCTCCCTTGGATCACTAACATAAAAAACAATAACAACAACAACAAAAGTATCAGATGTTAAGTATTCACATAAGATTTAATATTAAAAGCAAACTCACGTCTCTAAGTTGTCACCTTCAAGAACTGTCTGGACTGGTAGGTAGCCAAGCCGAGGGTGTTTGGCAAAGTATTTCTTTGACCTGAACTTGTTCTTGAGGACCTTTGTGAAGTCTCGTACATCTTCCCCAGACGTTGTCTACAATGTTGAAAAAAATTACATTCATTTCATTAAAATGGAAGGAGATAGCTATTAAGAATAAAGTCAGAGCAGATGTAAATGAATATCATTAAAGGCTGGAGATCTGGGGTCATTTCATTTCTTTTGGGGATAACACAGTATCAAAAAACACATTGATGGACTGAGAGAGACTAGAGGAACCTGAGACTATTGTCCTAAGATACCCTTGAAATTTGGCACTGAAGCCCCTCCTAGAGGTCACCTTTCAGCCAAACAGTTGATTGGCTTATAAAATACATGAAATCATCCCTGAGTAATGTGTCCCTTAAACATGTAACTGTATGAGATTAAATGGTCAACATTTATGCAAAAGCAAAGATGAGAAGGCAAGGAAGGGAAGGCAAGGTAGATCAATGGAAGCAGGACAGACAGAAGGGAAGGGAGAATGCAGTCACGACGTCACAGAACAACTTCATAAAACTGTTAAATGGGAATCTAATTTGTTGTGCAAACTTTCACCCAAAACACAATTGTTTAAAAATAGTAAATAGATAAATAAGTTGTGGTCTATTCATATACTGAAACAGTAAACAGCATTGAAGAAACACAAACTAAAGCTACACAAGATAATATGTAGAGATCTTATACGTTGAATAAATGAGTTAAAACACAAAAGAAAACAGAATTGATATATAAATGACCAAATTAAACTATATATAGGAGCTCTGGTAGCATAGTGCCTAAGGCACTTGATTGCTAACCAGAAGGCTGGCGGTTCAAACCTACCAGCCGCTCCTTGGAAGGAAGATTGGGCAATCTACTTCCATAGTGATACTGCCTCAGAAACTCAAGGGGGCGTCACTATGAGTCGGGTCTGACTCCAAGGCACATAACAACAACAACAACAAACTATACAAATGTGCATACTAAACTATAAAACCAAAACTAGTTTCCACTGAGTGCAACTCATGGTGATCCCATATCTGTCCGAATAGAACTTTGCTCATGTGTTTCCAGTGCTTGATTTTTCAAAAGTGGATCCCCAATCCTTTTTTCCTGTGTGACCATTGTCATAGAACCCAGCAGAGAAAGTGTGTTGTGGTGGATAGCTGGCATCAGGATTAACAGAGAAGCTGGGATATATCTGACCTCTGCCTCATGGGAACCAGCTTTGTGCTGATTCTTATATTCAGTTATCTAGTCAACACTGCCTATTCGGTTTACTGTAATTTCCTGTTGGTATGAAAAGTTTTTTAAACAAATAAACCAAAAAATACAATACACGTCCACTAAAAAACAACAAACTACTGCCATTGTGTCGATTCAACTCATAGCAACCCTTCCTTGGGCTTCTGAGGCAGTTATCTCTACAGAAGTAGATTGTGCCCAATCTTCCTTCTGAGGAGTGGCTGGTGGGTTTGACCCACTAGCCTTCTGGTTAGCAGTCAAATGCCTTAGGAACTACACCACCAGAGCTCCCTAGACTGGCAAAAGTTTAAAAATATGACCAGATCAAGTATTGCTCAGAAGTAGAAAAAATGGAATCCTCACATTTATTAGTGAGAAGATCCAAAATATGTGTTGTAAATCCTGACCCATCTAGTGGTTATAATCCCATTTTGGGAGTGGGCTTTCTTTGTTATGTTAATGGGGCAATGAAGCCTGTATTGTCTGGAGTCAATCTCCTTTTGAGATATAAAAGAGCAAGATTAAGCAAACTGAGAAGGAAGCAGAGATGGGGGAGATAGATGACGTGCCCCATGAAGTACAACAAGTAGCAAAAGAATAGAAGCTCAAAGAGACAAGAACCTTCCTCAGGGCCAACAAAGAGAAAGCCGTCCCCTGGAGCCAGAAACCTGAATTTGGACTTCTAGGTTCCTCAACTGTGAGGAAATAAATTTGTTTGATTAAAAAATCAAAACAAAACAAACAAACAAAAAAAAAAATCAAAACAAACACATTGCAATTAGGACTCAGCATTAAAAACAAAAAACAAAAACCCATGCCGTTGAGTCGATTCTAACTTATAGCAACTCCCATTGGGTTTCCAAGGCTATAAATCTTTACACAAGGAGATTGTCCCATCTTCCTTCCGTAGAGCAGCTGGTGGGTTTAAATCATCAACCTTCTGATCGGCAGTCAAAAGCCTTAGGCACAATGCCACCAGTGCTCCTTCAGAATTAAATGCATCCAGTAATTATTTTACAATTCTTCATTTTCATTTGAAAACAAACCAAAACTGACTCATTTCCCTAATGTTTCAAAAATTGGGCCAAAAAAAATAAAAGCTAGTTTTAGAAATGTTATTGCTTGATTCCTATCACTCAAAAATTTGCAATGTCCTATTAAAAATATAGGCGCTCTGGTAGCACAGTGCCTAAGGCACTTGACTGCTAACCAGAAGGCTGGCGGTTCAAACCCACCAGCCACTCCTTGGAAGGAAGATGGGCAATCTACTTCTGTAGTGATACTGTCTCAGAAACCCAAGGAGGGGTCGCTATGAGTCGGGTCCAACTCGATGGCACATAACAACAACAACATTAAAAATATAGTGATGACAAAGTATTCTGGGTATTATAACATCTTAACTAATGTGACTAAATCATGGTTAGCCGTATAGCCTACACTCGCTCCATGCAAACCAATACAGATATACCTTGGAGATACTGCAGGTCAGTTCCCGACACCGCAATAAGGCAATTAAAGCAAGCACTGTGATAAAGCAAGCACGGCAGTAAAGTGAGCTGCGTAAATGTTCTGGTTTCCACTGCATCCAAATGTTATGTGTACACTATACTGTAGTCCGTTAAGTGTGCAATAGCATTATGAAATTTTTTGAAATACTGTAAAAATTACCAAAACATGAAACACAGATTCAGAGTCAACACAAGCTATTGGAAAAATGGTGCCAATGCATTTGCTCGACGCAGGGTTGCCACACACCTTCAATATGAGAAAATGCAGTATCTGTGAAGCTCGATAAAGTGAAGAACAATAAAATGAGGTACGGCCTACATACAGTCTAGTATGGAAAAGGTGGAAGTTGTAAATAAGAGTGAAAGAGCAGACCCACACTGGTAAATATTTTGTGAGGAATACTTTCAGTTTCTTTGTCCTTTCCCAATCCTATAGCCATGTAATTATTTCACCTGGACTGAATTTTTAGTATGAGGGCACTGATGGCTCAGTGGCAGAATTCTCCTCTTTCATTTAGGAGATGTGGCTTTGATTTCCAGCTGAGGAACCTTACAGGCAGCCACCACCCTTTGTCCATAGAAGCTTACGTATTGCTTTGATGTTGCATAGGTTTGGTGGGCTTTACAAATTAAAACAGATTAGGAAGAAATGAAGGAAAGCCTGGTCATCTACTTGCAAAAATCAGCCAATGAAATCTCTATGGTTCACCGTGGTCTGATCCTGTTGTGCGTGGGGTTGCTGTGAGTTGCAGGCTGATTCGATAACAGGTAAGCACAAAACCAAAACCAACTTTTTAACAGTGATATAAAATGTTATTTTGTTTAAGAATTTCAAGATGGTTAGGTTAAATAACCATCTAGGGTGAGGTGGGATGAAATTTATCTAACCCTCTCTCACCCCTTCATGGCACCCCAGGAACTCTTCTCTATACCTGCTTTCTACTTTCTATCATCCATTTTGTTCTGTTGCATGTAGAGTTACTATGAGTTGGAACTGACCGTACAGCACCTAACTACAACAGCAGCAACATCACCAATTCTAGGGTTTATTTGCAATATGTTATATAGATATCAACTTTGGTCCTTCTGAAGATGTATTTGAAGTGTTTATATTATCTGTATAGAACTGAACTAAGATCTTCATCTTTTGACTTGGATTTGGCTGCCTGAT